GAAAGGCCGAGCCCCTTGGCTGGAGCAGGGTGTCCCCAGGACAGGGATGGTGGCCTGGGCTTGTCCCCCCTTGTCGGAGCCTTGTCACCCGGCCAGAGAGACCTTGGCGTGGCTGGCTCGTGAGAGCGGGGAGAACCGGGACAAACGCAACTTCTGCCTTAAGGGAAAGTGAGCTGTGGCTCAGGAGGAATTTAGGATGAAGTGAGTTGAAAAAAAGAACTTTATTTTGAATGTTGGGAGAGGTTTTTCCAAAGTGTTTTGAAAGTCGCAGAAGAGGAACAGTGACTTTTTAAGGAGTGACATAAGGATCAAATTGTCCCTCTTTCTTTAGGGAGGTGCTGAGGGCATTTCAGAATAAAATGCACAATTGTAACCGTACGAGGTAGGTGGCCAGTAATCTCACATCAGAAACTGGCTTTCAGATTTTTGCAAACAAACGTACGCTGTTCTGCTGAAGAGGTTGCAGCGCAGTGGAAAAAAACCACGCTTGCCTGGGCGGCTTTGCTGCTCGCTCACACGTGGAGAGTTCCTTCAGGTGCGAGCGTTGGCTCTGGGTGCCTCTCCCACGGCAGAGGCCCCTGCTCCCCACAGCTTGGTATTTTTTGCTCCATTTAACTAAGGGCGGGCAAGGTAATTGGTTTTCCTCTTTAATGTTTCCTCCTGTTTTGTGTCAGCGCCATCAGCCGTCCCCGGCAGGATGCGATGTGTTTTCACTTGGATCACGAAAACGTTACATAACTCGGTGCTTATCTCCTGCCGTTCGGGTTCGGTTTTCCCTGGCGGTTTCTTGTCGGGGAGGTGTCTCCCGCCTTGTCACAAGAGGTTTCGGGCAGAAGCGCTGGGTTTTGTTTTTGCTGTCGGCTCTCGTGAGCGGGAGACTTTCCCCTCACAGCTGTAAGGCAGGTCGGCTTTCCCACTGTTTACTTCTCCTGAAAGCCCGACGGGGGCCATCACATGGCAGGGCAGGGCCCCGGGGAAAGAAGAAGTACGGCATGTGTCCCCGGGTGACTGCCAGCCTGGTAAAATCCCGCGCATGGCGTCCTTGATGGCATGGCCAGCTGTTTCTCTACAGCGAGTGCTGGTGATGAGGAACTGTGTAGGGGAGGAAGGGTTTTTCTTCTTTTTTTTCTTGATCCATGAGCGAGGTTTTGCACTGGAACAGGATGCATGGTATCATGAGATTTTTGGTTTGTTTTGCTGACTTTGCATTTAGTAATTGTAATTTCAGCACAAGTTGTGACTTAGGAGACCAGCAGCATTTGGTATCTGAGAAGAACAGGGTCCAAAATAATGGAAGTGGGTATGTCCTTGTGGAGGCAGTTTTTACTGGCAGACACCCTGTGGCCTGCCGAAAAAGTACAAAGGCAAAGTAAGGAGGTGACAGACTTGCCAGATGTGGTCATCTCAACTCATAAGGGAGGGAGATGTAGCTTTAGGGGTACTGGCTGATACAGGCATAGCTAAAGCCAGTGTTCAGAGGTGGGGGTGTGCGGGTTTCAAGCTCGAATCCCAGGGAAGGGCAGCCAGGAATTTCCCCTTGCCTGGAGCCTTTAAAAGGGGAGGCTTATCTTGCTCGGTGGGGTGCTCCAGTTCAACCTCTGTGTGCAGGGAGGCAGGTCTGAGGGTCTGGCCGAACCCCACTGTAGAAGCCTCTTGCTCTGAGCTCAGATTAAGCCAGGAGCATATTTTGGTAGATCTCCTGTCTTCTCAGAGTTGACGAGGCTTCTCATCTTTGCACTGGCATTTGCCCACTAATCCCTTCTGCTTAATAAACACACCCCGGGCACAGCCCGGCGCTGAGGAAGTGCTCCTGCCACCCACCTGTGGCCATTACTGGGCAGGAAGGGAAGGGAAGGTTTCTCCCCGCAGGGGAGACCTGGGCAGGAGGAAACCGCAAACTGCCCCTGGACGGCTCTGAAACCGGTGCTACCACCCGGCACAACGGAGCTCCGGCAGATGGGAAGAGCCTGTGTGGCCCCCCCAGGCCCCC